GGCCCTGGCTGTGGGTGGTTTACATCCTCACCGTTGGTTTGCCTATTGGACTGGCTGTGCTCTTCTGCTGGCCAAAGGTACGTCCCGACCCCACAGTGGAGATCCCATTGAATGCAGAATAAAACACTTGATATAGCAGGCCTGATTTACAGCTATATTTAGGATGTCAGTGTTTTGCTGTGAATCATATAGATGTGTGGGTACAGCGTAATTATTCATTACATAATCTGTTTTCATCACAACAGAAAGATTCTGTCCCGAATAACCATAATCAAAGCAGATAAGAGAAGCAGAATAAAACAAACACTCTGCCTACACACATGCACAATTAACTGTACACATTTGCATTGCTTTTACATTTTACATGTATTCGTTTAACAGACTCTTTTATTCAAAGTTACTTACAAATGAGGACCACACGAGTGATTCATCCTGAGGAGAACTGCTGTAACACTGCACCAAAATGTGCTAGGACACAGCACAAGCTAGTGCGAGATGTTTAAAGGAAACCGAAGCTTTCCTAAAACCTTTATGGTTTGCTTTTGTTTTGTTTCGTTTCATTTGCTGCCTGGCAAGAACTGCTACTTCCTGAACTGGAAATTCAGTCCAGTTATTTTTAAAGAAACTAAGGCATTTTAGGGCTGAAATGCTGTATCAACCAATCAGCATTCAAGATGGAAATATAATTCATTTTTAGTAAGTCTTCCACCATTGAGGTCCCAGAGGTCCAGAAATAATTGCCTAATAATAGCTGTACTTTGGTGCTGCAAAGATATTGTACAGCGCAGAGCTGTATATCAGTGCTTGAAGACGAGCATTACCGCTACTTTTTAATAATAATAATAATTCATTACATTTATATAGCGCTTTTCTAGGCACTCAAAGCGCTTTACATTGTCAGGGGGTATCTCCTCATCCACCACCAGTGTGCAGCATCCACCTGGATGATGCGACGACAGCCATAGTGCGCCAGAACGCCCACCACACACCAGCTTATTGACCAGGCTCAACCCTGCTTAGCTTCAGTGGGCAACTAGTCTTGGGCTACAGGGTGATATGGCTGCTATGAACAGAAACCAAGTGTAAATTCTAACATGATGCTTTGGTCAAAAAGTGAGATGCAAGACATAAGTAAGTAAACATTGTATATTTGACACCTGTGTTATGTTAGAAGTTTTAAACGACTAACAGTAATATCCAAAGATGGTACAACACAACCAGTACACTTAACAACATATTAAGCATAAGATAAACAACAAATTCTTGTGCATGAATTTAAAGAACTTAGTTACATTTTCCTGATAGCCTTTCTGTAAATTCACTTATCATCCTCAGACCTAAACTAGAATGTGGTAAAACGTGTGGCTTTGAAAAGTATGTTTATAGGATGTGGTTAGCATTTAGAAAAAAAGTGTCTACAGCCTGTGTATACTGATATGTTTATGGCCGGTCTGCTCTCTTATTTTAAACAGATAATTCACCTAAAAATGAAAATTCTGTTATTATTTACCTTACATATTCAAATGTTGTCATTGCAAACCCAAATGCTGATTTTCATGACCATGTGTATTTTTTCCTTCACTGACACAGATAAAAACTGAAAAAGACAGCTATCATTATCCAAATTTTTGTCCTCCAGACATCTTAAACTGCACATATGTAGATCAGGGAAATCAACTTTTTTTTTTTCAAGGGGCCATATGTCCCCGAACTCACCAAGCAAGCTGGGTTTTTGGACCTCTGTATATGATCATGACTGTCATACTCAATCTCAAGTGTTGGTCATTCTGAGAATCCTGGCTCAAATGCAGCATTTGTTGTGTTGTGTGTTTGCTGTGTGATGAGATCCACTTAAACAGACCTCATTACATCTAGCTATTTGCTGAGCATAACACAGTTGATAAATCTGGTTTACCATGCTAACCCCATTTGATATATTGCTAAAGATTAGGGTGTTTAGGATTAGCTTGCAAGTACAAAATCCTCTTAATGTGTATTTATCATCGGTTGCATAGCAACAGGCAATCAGCGACCTGCCCTGAAGCGTTCGACAGGTTTGTCACCAGATATGAACAGGATGGTGCACGTCACTGTCCTCTTGGCCAACTGCTTCTTGAATATTCTCAGCTCACACAATTGTATGTGTATTGCAGAAGTCGGATGATGACTATGTATACAAGAAAATCGATGAGCCCAAAGCCGAACCAGAGGAGGTAGCAGAAGAAGAAGAAGAGGAGGAGGATGACGAGGCAGAGAAAGGGAAAGATGAAGATGAAGCAAAAGCAGAGGAAGATACTGAAGCTACTGGTTTGTAAAATGATGTATCATTGTTTGCTGTTTTAAGTACTTTTTAGTGTAGTTGTTATACATAATTTTCTGACTCTCTTTTCAGGTAATGAGAATGGGGACGGGGTGGACAACGACATTGGAAAAGATGGTGGAGATACAGAGGAGGAAGAAGATGAGGAAGAGGCCAGTAAGCCAAATGACACACCCTCAGAGGATGAAGTAAGCAAGTTCTCATTGACTTATGATGTGTTCACAACAAACACAAATTTAATTATTCGCGCAAGTAGATTACATACAAAGTCAATGCAAAGATGCGAATAGAGGCCGCAAACGCGTGATATTTGCCTCAATCGCTACAGAGATGCTGCTATCAATAAAAAAAAGAATGTCAGTGTATATACAGTAGTAAAATGTAATGCACATCAATGCAGGATTAATACTCATCCTCTGGATGGTGCTGTGAAATTTTCAGTATGAGTCTTGTTTCGATACAGTGTTGTTTTAACTACTGCACGTGCAGAACTTCTCTGTGTATGAAACGTCATTTCAAACTCAAAAGTTTCCCCTCTATAATTTGACAGGATCGTTTATATTGCTATACTCTGATGTTGCAAACACTTCTGGAAAAATAACAAAGGACATGAGACGTGCTTTATATTAAGTGCTTCAAACTAAATGATAAACCTACACTTCTTGCCCTATTCTCAGATATGTGTGCTGTTGAATGTGTTTTAGATTTGTTTTCATACATCTTATGGTTATAAAATTGGGCTTCCATTTTGCATAAAGAATTATCCTGATGGCAAGTGAGTCTTAACTTGAGTTTTAACTTCACAGACTTCAATGAGTGAGTGCCGGCGCACACATGTGTGTCAAAGAGATGGAGCAGATTAGAAAGTGAACACAATAATTCTGACTAAAGTATTTTCACATATTTTGCGTCCAAAAGTGTAAGCACTTCAAATCTCTTTCCCCAATTACTGCAGCACTATAAACTGCAGTGTTGCACCAATATTGACAGACTTAAAGGGGTCATATGACGTTGCTAAAAAAGAACATTATTTTGTGTATTTGGTGTAATGCAATGTTTATGCGGTTTAAGGTCTAAAAAACACATTATTTTCCACATAATTACT